CTGCAATAAGAGCCAGATACGGGGCTCGAACTCATGAACCATAAAATCGTGACCTGAGCTGAAGTCAGACACCTAACCAACTGAGCCACCCAGGCGCCCCAAATGAAATTTTTAGAAAGCATGTGTTTGTGTGTGTGTGTTCATGTGTGTGTGTGTGTGGGGGGGGTGGTGGGGGCACAGTGGTATTACTAAATCAAACAATGCTAAGGTGTAAATCTCTAAAAGAATTGTCATTACCATTTCTTATAAGGTTATCCCTTTTGAAGAAGCAACTTGGAAACTGATACAGACTTAGGAGCTAATTCTAGTTTTGAAAATCCAATTAAGAATGCTTATAGATGGGGGCACCTGAGTGGCTCAGCCGGTTAAGCACCCAACTTTGGCTCAGGTCATGATCTCACGGTTTGTGGGTTCGGGCCTCACATGGGGCTCTGTGAGGACAGCTCAGAGCCTGGAGCCTGCTTCAGATTCTGTGTCTCCCTCTCTCTTTGTTCCTCTCTCTCCCTCAAAAATAAATAAAAAACATTAAAAAACTGGGAAAAAAAGAATGTCTACCCTTTCTACCAAAGGAAAATGTTTGATCTATCTTTAGACTGTTATTTTAAATTGACCCTTCTTTTTCTCTGCAGTAGCTTCACACATGAGCAACACATAGAAGGTGTTTTAAAAATTGTGTTGAATGAATACATACTGATTTTCCTGAATCGCATCAATAATTCTAGTGTGAGAAGTTCTCTTCAGTTGCATTAAAATGACACCTGCACCAATCCCCATAGTGGGAAAGGTTCCTACAGCCATTGAGTGGTGTGAATCATTGCTTGGTTTACTCATGGAGATATACTTAAATCTACAAGGTGCCCTTGGAAATGTGCTCTCCAACTGACCCAGTGTTACATTATGAAGTTGTGTTACATTATGACTAAAAAAGGTTACACGCCCTTAAATTCTTTTGTTTTTCACCTCATGAATTTCTGGTCCAATTAAAAGAAAAGTCAAGATCCCAAATCATGTCAAAATGCAGAATATGATTTTTTCAATTTTATGTTTTTCTTAGGTTCAAGAAGATGTCTAGAGATGAAGACAAGGAAGATGAGAGAGACAGGAAATTCACACACACACACACACACACACACACAGAAACATGAAAGTGTGTCTCCCTTAAAAGGGATGAGAAAACAAGAACGCTTAAAAGAACTCTGGAAAGATTCAGATTCAAGTTCAAATTTCAATTATGCCACCATCTACATGACCTTGAACAAGTGACTTTGTAGCAATGTCCTCACCTGCCAAGACAGGGCACTGATTTTTTTTTTTAATGTTTACTTATTTTTGAGAGAGAGACAGAGACAGAGCACGAGCGGGGGAGGGTCAGGGAGAGAGAGGGAGACCCAGAATCTGAAGCAGGCTCCAGGCTCTGAGCTGTCAGCACAGAGCCCGACGCGGGCCTCAAACCCACAGACTGCGAGATCATGACCTGAGCTGAAGTCAGATGCTCAACTGACTGAGCCACCCAGGTGCCCCAGGGCACTGATGGTTTTTAAGTCCCTTATTGCTTTATGGAGACCCCAACCTTCATCTGTCACAGTAGCTTCAGCCTTCTGAGGAACAGGCATGTGGGTTCTTGTGGCACGTGGGTACTCAGGAAGGAAGGACACAACTAAACCCACCAGCCGACCTCTACCACTTCTCACATCTAAAATGTTCTTACTTATCTCAACTCTTCTCATTCTGATACTTTGAGCATTTGGTCCTGTTCCTGGACTGATGCTACCAACACATTCTGCTTTGCTTTGGATGACCTCATTGCTGCCATATTACTTTTTCTGAGAAGATCAGACGACAAACAGTGGTGCCCGGCACCATGAAAGGAATGACATTGGACAGAAAGGTTGACCCTGTGCAGACGTTCTGTACAGCCTCACTATCTCCAGTGAACACACATGTTGTGATAGTGCTGTTGTTGGTATTCACAGACACACCACTCTGCGAAAATGGTCTTGGTTCTTTTTGAGGTTGGTCATGGGCCAGAATAGGGATGGGCTTTGAATCAAACACAGGTGTGCCCATTTCCCAGTGTTAGACCCATCTCCAGAAGCTTAGATAAGCAGCCAGGTTGGCCAAGAATTTACCAACCTTTAGCTAACGAGAAGGCAGAAAGACAAGTATATAAAAAGCCCCAACTGCCAAAAAAGAATGTGACTTTCCAGTGACATGATAACTTTGCATGGAGGTCTGAGATGGAATCAGATGCAGATATGAATTCTTTTCCCTCCACCTCGTAGCCAGACAGACCCATAACTTTACCTTTGGGTATCAAGCACTATATTAGGGAGGATTTTTTTTTTTAATCTTAGATACATATTCTTCAAACTTTATCCATTTGGTTTCCTAATTGGATGTTCATGGACAAGAGGCTGAGGACTCTTCTTAGAGGATAACAGGCCCTTCTTTACTAGTTTTATATTTATTTTTAATTTTTTTTTTCAACGTTTATTTTTATTTTTGGGACAGAGAGAGACAGAGCATGAACAGGGGAGGGGCAGAGAG